TGTGATCTGTTAAAAGTCTATAAGAGAGGAGGAGAGGAGACATGTGATCTGTTAAAAGTCTAGAAGAGAGGAGAGAGGAGACATGTGATCTGTTAAAAGTCTATAAGAGAGAGGAGGAGGAACATGTGAGCTGTTAAAAGTCTAGAAGAGAGGAGAGGAGAGACATGTGATCTGTTAAAAGTCTATAAGAGAGGAGAGGAGACATGTGATCTGTTAAAAGTCTATAAGAGAGGAGGAGAGGAGACATGTGATCTGTTAAAAGTCTATAAGAGAGGAGAGGAGGAGACATGTGATCTGTTAAAAGTCTACAAGAGAGGAGAGGAGACATGTGATCTGTTAAAAGTCTATAAGAGAGGGAGAGGAGACATGTGATCTGTTAAAAGTCTATAAGAGAGGAGAGGAGGAGACATGTGATCTGTTAAAAGTCTATAAGAGAGGAGAGGAGGAGACATGTGAGCTGTTAAAAGTCTAGAAGAGAGGAGGAGAGGAGACATGTGATCTGTTAAAAGTCTATAAGAGAGGAGGAGAGGAGGAGACATGTGATCTGTTAAAAGTCTATAAGAGAAGAGGAGAGGAGGAGACATGTGATCTGTTAAAAGTCTATAAGAGAGGAGAGGAGAGGAGACATGTGAGCTGTTAAAAGTCTAAAAGAGAGGAGGAGAGGAGACATGTGATCTGTTAAAAGTCTATAAGAGAGGAGGAGAGGAGACATGTGATCTGTTAAAAGTCTATAAGAGAGGAGGAGAGGAGACATGTGATCTGTTAAAAGTCTATAAGAGAGGAGGAGAGGAGGAGACATGTGATCTGTTAAAAGTCTATAAGAGAGGAGAGGAGGAGACATGTGATCTGTTAAAAGTCTAGAAGAGAGGAGGAGAGGAGGAGACATGTGATCTGTTAAAAGTCTATAAAAGAAGAGGAGAGGAGGAGACATGTGAGCTGTTAAAAGTCTAGAAGAGAGGAGGAGAGGAGACATGTGATCTGTTAAAAGTCTATAAGAGAGGAGGAGGAGGAGACATGTGAGCTGTTAAAAGTCTATAAGAGAAGAGGAGAGGAGGAGACATGTGATCTGTTAAAAGTCTATAAGAGAGGAGAGGAGACGTCTGGCCGGCTAAGTCATCAGCTAACGCGGTCCTTTGTAACCGTGCATGGAGGAAACTAAAAAACAGCTCTCTGTGCCCTCTGGAGATATCCTCCAGAAACGCGCCTCGTTAATAGTCAAGTAAATTTTCAATTACACTCATGACTCAGCGGATGCATACGCAAACAAAAACAAAAAAATACAACAATCAAAAATAATAATAAAAGTGGTTGTAATAAAGGTATACCTCAGGGCTGCAGGTGGAGTTGGCGTGGGAGCAGCTAGCATTAGGAGACACCACTTTGTAGACGGGTTCACCTGAGGACGCCAGGTAACTGATCACACAGCAGGTTAAAGACAACAGGTGAGTCAGAGAGATGTCACAGACAGAGATCAGCTGTCCCTCTGCACATCACTGAAGGACTGAAGAAAGTACATTTTAGAGGGATGAGAAAGTTTAAAAAAAATATTGCTGTGACACCCTAGGATTGTGGGTAGTGTAGTTCTTTTTTTTGCCAGAGAGTGGCTCCTGTCTTCTCCAGGAGCATATACCGTCGCTTCACTTTCTGAACAACACTGTTGAGCTCTATCGCACATTTCATTTTTGAATATTTTCTCTTGGTAGAAATGTCTGTATGAGTTGTGATTTAAGAGAGTTTTACTGTCGATGTTATTTTATACAGCGTCTTTGTGGTGCGTTGCCTTTTGGGACAATAAAAAATAATCTGAAGTATGATGATAAAGTTCCTCTGATGTTGTTACTGGAGGATACACAGCAGTGGTGGCCCAGTATGAGATACACACAGTGATCAGGAGGAAGGTGACCACCGGGAAGAACAGAGTGGTCGGGATGTGACCCATCGCTCTGAAACAAAAACAAACAGTTATCATTATCAATAATACATTTAGAGGACATTGAATCATATTTGGTCTTTTATTGTTTTTATATTTTCATACTTGCTGGCCTCTCTGAGCAGAGCGATGGCCACTCTCACTCTCCTCCTCAAGAAGATCAACATCAACAAGATGGACGCCTCAGACACTGCCAGAGACACAACTGACACACACAAACACACACACACACACACACACACACACACACACACACACACACACAACAGGAATGCACTTCCTGTTGGGATTCTCTGCACACTAACATTTGGTCTAAAACTCTGCTGCTCATCTGTTGTAGGGAGATCACATCACCTCCATCCTCTCCTCCCTGACTGAT